AACCTTATCGTAGCAGAACACAACACAAGCCACTTGAAACACAGAACTGACCTAAACCCCATGGAAGTTTGAGGAGGCCCTTTGTCTTTTCATATACAATGCAACTTCTGATGCATGGTACGAATTAAATACTGCAATACACATATCAGCACTACAACTGATCCAAACAACCTGGCCCTGAAACATCTGTTGGCTGCACTGAAACCTCCCACTTCTATGACAAATCTCTGCATCTGCTGGCTGGACGGCTCCTCCACAAAGAAGCTCTCATGTGCTCCATGTACGAGGTTTCTCAGAGATGTGTTTCTAGTGCTACACTCAGTTTCTTACTTCAGGTATTTCTCAGAGGAGGACATCGGTTCAACAAACCCACACGTGAACTGCAGGGTCTGCAGGAACTCTTCAATGCAAGAGGACTCTATAGGTTACAGTCTCCCTCCCAAAGAAATACTTGATCCAACCATCACCCCTCTGATGCTTCTATTTAACAAATGATAACTAACATATTACATTATCCATGTGAGACTACCTGGATTTCCCCCTCTACCCTTTTTCTTTTAAAATATTACAGGAAAAACTTGACAGGACTGTTACTGCTAGAGACAGGTCAGCCCCAGGGCTGCTAACAGATTTACGGGTTTAAGAGTTCAAGCCAAACTCAAGGAGGTGTTACATAGCTGGGTGTAGAGACCAACAGCAAACAAAGCTGCAACAAGCCAGCCCTCTCGAACAAGGACATGAATACGCTCCTCTAACTACCTACATATGCCCATCTCATTACAAAGATATTTAAATCCATTCCTATGGTTGGTCCCATTGCTCGTGGCTCTGGGCAAGAGCTCTATCACACCACATGCCACCCAACCACCTGGTTTCTGAGCTGTTTCTGAGCCCAGCCTCCCCACCCCTGCGCCCACTTTTCCCTCTGCCACAAGGGGCCAGACGTACCCAGCACAAGACACGGAGCCGAAAGGGGTGAGGCGAAACAGAGGACTCCTCGCCCGCCAACAAAGCTGCTGTTTGCACAAAAGACAGCGTTTGCTCTCTCCCACCCGTTAGTCTGTCAGGTAAATAATGCACGTGCCAAAACACACACTTAATGAGGTAAATAATATGCCTCGAATAACGGCTAAATCTGTATTTACCTGCGAGACCAGAGAAAGTTGGAAGGACCAGATTAGGAGATAATTGCGACTGAGCAGGTTGTGTGCTCCGAGTAAACACGCATTTGGTAACCTTCCCCTTCCGAGGTTTTGAGTGAAAGGCAAAAATCAAAGGAGACGAGAGGTTTAAGACTGAGCCAGTGCCCACGCTGCCAATTCCATGATGTAAATGCATCCACACCTTGTGCCTTTCGTGTTTTGGGGGGCTGCCTGCTTTATTAAAGCAGCGTGCCAGGCAGCAGGTACCCAGAGAAGTGAAAACTCAGGTTAGGAAACCATAATGAAGAGCCCAACATTGTGTTTATCCTGAAGGGGTTCAGTTCTACCTATTGCTTTTCCATCTATGGCTTTTACTGTCATCAATAAATGCATTACAGTCAAATAGAAATTAGTTATATTCACTTCTAACCTGCCCCAGAGAAGAGATAGTTAAGGTATACATGCTTTAAATCTTCAAGCTACCAGCTATGAATCTAAAGGCCCATCACAGCAAATATAATATATCAGGATAAAGCAGCCTGTAAGTTAGTTGTGGTAAAACCTGGTCCTTAGCCTACTGTATAAAGTAAGATCTACAGCTGGAGTGGGGGAAGCAAGCAGGCTTCAACCCCTATATCAAATACAGGCAATAAAACACACATTACCCACCCCAACACAGCCAGATCAGTACTCCTCTAATGTATCTTAACTGGCAAGACTAGGGCATCAGATATGAACCCCCAAATCTCCAAGCTGGCCTGCACCAGTACAGTGGTGCCGAGGTTCCCAAGCCACTGAGTAAGTTCCCAAGTTCCTGAGCCACTGAGGGCAAAGGCAAGCTTGGCTGGAGCCGGGCATGTCACCACGCGGACACGGCAGCATCACACCAAACCCCGCAGGTCTGTGTCCCACAGGCACCGTGGGGCATCAGCAGAGGCAAATAGCAGCCAACGGCTAGTGCCCATCTACACTAACAACTTCTGCGGGTGGTCTGACGATAGGATCAGGCCCCTCGTCCTCCAAGCAGCCTCTCTCCACACTCTCCAGAGGGGGCAACGCTCCGAACAAAGGTGCACGAGTGGGGACTGCACGGCGATGCCCCGACACAGACAGCATGCAAATACGAGCAAGCCCACTGCAGACCTGCACCTCTAGCCAAATGAAGTTTTAACGGTGTGTTTACCCAGCCACTGCTCTAGGTGCCCTGGGAAGACCTCACATCATCTTCTTAGGCAAGGTCAAAGTGCCTCAGAGCACAAGATAGCTTGTGAGCAAACACACTTTATTAGAAGTCATGTAAAGCATTTATAAGAGCTATGACAAGGCAAAGCACTAGCAATTATCCTGTATTTTTTTTCCCAAGATGACAATGCAAGAAACACAGCTTTAAAAATTAGAAACCTGGCTCTATCCATATAAATCCACATGTTCAGTGATTCCATTTCCAAACCTACATAAAACAACACATATATATGTTTTATGCACACAGGGTCAGATTATAATCTCAGGCAGTGCAAACTGTCACGTCTGGCATTCAACCCTACTAGGTTAATATTTCATATCACACAACTCCAATTCCTTACACGGATACGTATAAACCTAATGGGACCATGAACTGAGGCTGGATCTCAGGAATTATTTTGACAGATTGTACATAGACCCAGGAAAATGTGACAGCACTTCACATTTGCAACACCCAGTAACATGGGAAATGACATGTGGTGGGTTTTGGCTGGAAGATAAAGTTTGCATTATTGTGCTGTGTAACAGTACGTGTCACGCGTGACATCACCGGCTACAATCAGCAAATGCCTTTTAAAAATAACCAAAAAAAAAGTAATCTCTGGACATCAGCCACAGATAACAGGACAGGCTGAGGCTGACAATAGTTCTTGTTTGTTAGCGGTCCAAGGACACGATGCTAAAGCACAACACTTTGATCACCAGCAAATGAGAAAAGCCAGGAGAAAGGCAAGTGCTGGCTGCAGCCACCGGCTCGCCGGGAGCCCCACGGAGCACGCAGCGGAGAATCTGCGCCGGCAGCTGTCGCACTCCAGGCTGCCACCCGGGACGCCGCTTAGGGGCAACCGCAAGCGGCAAGAACAAGACAGGGAACTCCTGCCACTTGAGGAACACTGGTGACGAAAGCCAGCAGGGCACTGCAAGGGCTCTCCCCCACCTGCAGGACAGCCCCAAAGCCACATACAGAGATTTGCACCACACAAGTTGCAGAGGACTCAAATTCATCAGGAGTGAGACAAACCAGCCTACGAACTTGAGCTGAACGGGCTCTTTGCACAGAACATTAATAATGACTTTTCACAATCACATCTAACTAAAATCACCTACCAGCAAGCAAAGGAAGAACTTTAACAGCTTGCCTTTAACCCAAAAATATTGCCCTTTACGGTCCAGTTTGATGTAGAAAGAGGGCAAGAAAAAAAAACACATGAGTTCAGGCTGGAGGGGTGACCCAAGAAATTATATTTTACAACAGCCTCTATTTATATGTTAAATTACTGTTATGGCACTCCACCATATTAAAAACTAAACAAACAAAAAACACCCCACACTAATCTAAAGGACACGACAAACTAAAATTAAAAAATAAAAGCAAGCTTTGGAAGTCATATGCTTCAGTTTACGCCCTGTGCAAAGCCTAGGTAGGGGCAGCTGTGACTCCTGGCCTCTGACAGACAACTGAACCCATGGCTAGAGCAAGTAAAACCAATCAGAAATGTAAGTCAGGTTTGTCTTACTTTATTAAATTACAAAGTAAAAAGATAGGGTAATAAAGATGCTTTTTTGTAGAACAATACTGCATATATTTAGCAACACCTGGAACAGAATATAACAAAGAAATGCAAGACTTCAATTTTGTTAGCTGTTCAAATGCATATTCAGAGGTCAAATATGAGGCCACATTTCAGCTGTGTGAAGACATAACTGAAGAACAACAGGGATAACTTTTGTTGTTTTTAAAACCAACCTTAACCTAAATCCCAATATTTCATTAGATATACTAGAGTCCAAAAATGACAGCATCTGGCTAGCCTGTGAGGAAACAAGAGACTATGAACAAAACCAGCTCATCCACTGTCACCATCCAAACTTGCAAAAAAACCCAAACCAAACCACAAAAACAAACAACAAAACACAAAACTTTTGAGAACTGTTTTAATAATGTAACATAATTGTAGACAGGTAAATTTGCTTCTTTAATTTAACCTCCCATCATCCCTTGAACATGAATCCAGTACACTTTGATGGCTGCACTTCCGTCACTTTTGGCTGGGTTTGTCTCCAGCACTGCTAGACAACCAAGCCTGCATTGTGGACAATTTGTAACTTTCCCAAAGCACTGCCACGGGATGCCTATATGCTGTCCCATCATTACTCAGCTCAGACACAACTTGGCATCAAGCATTTTGTTTTTACAGCACTCTGGAATTGCACCCAGCCTCTTCCTACTGCAGATGAAGAGGTCCCTGTTCTCAAGAACTTACAGTCTAAAATTAGATGTGATACAACAGGTGA